TGTGAAAAGACCCATCAAGGAAGGATATTTCTCACCCAGTGCGTAGAAACAAATCTGTACGAAGGATTTTATCACCATGCGGTGTCCATGCCCTTGGAACTAGAACAGAGCTCAGCTCCTGCAGAGAAAGGAGGAAGACAAAAGCAGTTTTGGACTTGGAATGGAAAAATTATTTACAATCTAGAAATCTATACTTAGTCAAACTGCCTATAAAGTTTGAGGATAAACTATTGACAATTTCATGAATAATTTCAAAGATTTTTAGCTCCTAACTTCCCCTTTTCAGGAAGCTAAAAGATATGAGCTACTAAATTGAAGTCAATTAAGAAAGGAAGATATAGGATATGGGAAATAGCAGATCTAACATACTAAAGCAGCAAAGTAAATCCGTCTGATTTTCTGACAAGAGATCCTAGGATGGCTATGGCGCTCACCAGTCCAGATGAGAATGAGGCAGAGGCCCCAAGAGAGTCTCTTCAGGTCATAGTACATGTGAGGTTCAGCACCCTGAAGGAACATTTTGGTAATTGGCAGAGGTGTAGAATTTATATTAAGTACATAGAAAACTAATTTAATGATCGATACAGAAAAGGAAAAGTGATCATGTTTTATTATATTTAAGACTACAGATTCCCTAAAGCATTCTTTTAATCTACATATTTTGGCATGTGATATTTTTATCAACTAGTTCAAAACACCGTTTCTTCTCCATGATGATTTCATATTTGACCTATGAGTTGAAAAGGATGTTGTAAAATTTCCAAATGGAGGATTTTTAAAAGTACATATTTTTTTTGCTTGGTTTCTCATTTAATTATATTGTAGGCATTTGTCCCATACAATACTGATTCTTTGAAATTAATTCAGACCTGCCTTATGGCCCACTGTCTAGTCACATTTTATAAATGTCCTATATGTGCTTGAGAATTCACTTCTAATTGCAGCAGTTTTTCTAATTGCCTATCCAACAAGTTAAAGTTGTTAGGTATATGTAAGTTTTTTCAGATCTTTACTAATTTTTTTCCTCAGATTGATTTTAACAGTTGGCATGGATGGGTTGAAATCTCCCACAATGATGTTGGATTTGCTTGCTTCTCCCTATAGTTTTGTCAGTTTATACTCTATATGTTTCAAGGCGGAGAACATAAAGATTTAGAATTATGTCTTCCTGGTAAATTGAGCTTTTTAAAAAATCAATATTAGTCACCTCTCTATCTTAAACAATGCTTTCCCTCCTAGAATCTATTTAGTTTAGTCTTAAAATCACCTCTTTAGCTTTCTTTTCGTTAATATTTACCTAAAACATTTTTCCCCTCCCTTTCAACACTTCTTTAGGAGGTTTCCTGTCAACATAATTTTTGTTTCTTTTTTCCTTCAAACTGAACATGACAAACTTTGCCTTTTAGTTGACAAGTTTAAATCATTTTTATTCCATTTCAAATGTACATACACTTGTGTCTACCATTGTACTTATTACCTTATATTTTTCTTTTTTTTTATGCTTTTTTCTTTGCATGTTTTTGGAGGTTTTTTTTGTTTGTTTTTGCCTATGGTTTTCATTCCATTTTTTTCCATATAGTAATTTGGAAGTTATATACCCTATTTATGTTCTTTTTTTTTTTTAAGATTTTATTTATTTATCATGAGAGACACAGAAAGAGTCAGATACATAGGCAGAGGAAGAAGCAGGCTCCCTACGGGGAGCCTGATGCTGGACTCAACCCCAGGACCCCAGGATCATGCCCTGGGCCAAAGGCAGACACTCAACCACTGAGCCACCCAGGCATCCCTAGCCAGATAACTTTCAAACCATCCTGAACACCTATGAATTCAACCTGAGATATAAAGAAAGAACAGCTGTAACTCTAAAATAGAAGAGTGACCACTTCTTGCAAGAGAAGCACAGAAAGCCTTCAGAAGCCTTCAGGGAACAAAGACAAGGCAAATTGGGTACAGTGAGCCCGGCCACCTGGCAGGGGCAGGGCATCCCCGCTCAGGCACGGACACCTGAGAATCAGCGCAGCAGACCCTCCCCCAGAAGACCAGCTGGAAGAACAGGGGAAGAGCAAGTTTACTGAGCAAGCAGCACTGGAAAGCTCCAGGACAGAGGGAAAATAGTATATAGAACTAGAGGGTTTTTTTCTTATGATTCATTTACCTTTCAGATTAAAATTTTCCAATGCTCTTTCTTTTTTATCATAACAATAATATTTTATCAACTCTTCATTTTTTTTATTTTTTTTTAATTTATTTATGATAGTCACAGAGGGAGAGAGAGAGAGAGAGGTGCAGAGACACAGGCAGAGGGAGAAGCAGGCTCCACGCACCGGGAGCCCGACGTGGGACTCGATCCCGGGTCTCCAGGATCGCGCCCTGGGCCAAAGGCAGGCGCCAAACCGCTGCACCACCCAGGGATCCCCAACTCTTCATTTTTTAAGTTTTTTCTTTTTTGACTTTCATATTTTACAATTACATGTTATAGATCTATTCTTCATTTTTGTCTTCCTTTCACTGTATTCAATTTAATTTTTGTGCATATATGTAAATTTTGCTTTTTAAAAAAAATAATTTTGGAATTTATTACCTTTTAACATACAGACCAAAATACACTCAGAACTAACTGGATCACCATTTGGGTCCACTCTATGAGGTTATATTCTCTCTCTCCTACCATCTCCCTCCCCCGCTTTTTTTAAAATTTATTTTTCTTTTTCTTTTATTCTCTGGTCCCTGACTTCTTCGGATTTGTATAGTGTGTATTTTGCTTGGGTTGTGGTTGATGTTTTTGACTCTGTTTATTCATATAACTATTTTGCACTGGACAAAATGATTAGAAGAAAGAGTTCACCACAAAAGAACCAGAGATAATACTCTCTGCCACAGATATATTGGATATGGATTTAAGCAAAATGTCAGAGGTAGAATTCAGGATTACAATTATTAAGTTATTCATTGGAGTCCTATTAGACAAGCGTTAGGCTTTCTCATTCTATTCTCTGTACTTCTCTTTTCACTCATATTTTTTATCTCAGCTGTCAATGTGCATTCCAGGTAATTTACTCAAATTTATAACCCAGTTCACATATACACATTCTTCAGGTACATGTAACCATTTGTTTATACCTGTTCAATAACTTCTTTATTTTAGTAAGTGTAGTGTTTCCTTTTTGAAAGATCTGTTTCATTCTTTAAATCTACCAAGTCATATTGTATAGCTTTTTGTCTTGTATTTGTATCTTTGTGATTTTACCTTTTTATTTTTTTATTTTATCTTTTTAAAATAGTCATACCGTATTTCTTATCTTTTAATTCTAATGTCAGGTCCTCAGGAGGTCTGTTGTTGTTGTTTTTCTTTACTCTTCCCACATAGTGGATTGTTTCCTTATACTAGTGATTTTTTTAAGATTTCATTTTTTCATTTGAGAGAGAGAGAAAGAGAGAGAGCACAGGAACAGGAGAGAGGTGCAGAGGGAGAAGGACAAGCAGGCTTCTTGCTGAGCATGGAGCCTGATGCAGGGCTTGATCCCAGGACCTTGGGACTTTGGACCTGAGCTGAAGGCAGAGACTTAACCTACTGAGCCACTCAGGCATTCCGGTACTAGTGATCTTTATTCAAACACATGTTTGTTTGATTTTACTCCATGACAACTAATGATCAAACTAAAGGTGATTTCCTTTATATATAAGATTTACCTTTGCAAACTCTTGTGAATCAGGGGGGTCCTGTGAACCTGGGAGAATTAATCAGGTCTAGCTTCTAAGCAGTAAAGTTCGTTGCTTCAGATTTAGCATTCCTTTGTTCATCATTTGTTTGTCATCTGTTCTTTCCCAACATGTACTTTCCTATACACCCTCATCTTTAAAATAATTTTGTTCCTCACAGTCTGTTTGGTGGTATTATTTACTGTCTGTTTTTTTCCAGCTTCAGTAAATATTTTCTGAGAATATGCCACTTTTCAATAAATATTTTTTGAGAATAAGTACGGCTTCATTTACCTGAATTATGAAATTCAGAGGATTGGAAATTCAGTCATAAACAGGTTTTTATAAATGCAGCTCTTTGAACTTAAAAGTTGGGAGGAATCCCATATGTCACTGGACATCCATCATGTCTGTGTTGCTGTCAGCAGGGATGCTGGTTTTTGTCCTGCTGGGGTATGCATGTCTGTAAACATGTACCTTCTCAGAGAAAGCCCCTTATTATTGTTCTCTTAATAATGTTAGACCGGAGCTTTTCTCCTTGTTGAGCATCCATAGGAAATAGAAATGTTTCCTGTTATAACAGTATAAAAATGGGGAGAGGGAATACTCTCTTTTTGGGCAGTGGTAATATATTTTATTTGAAAGGATGATCCTTGTGTGCTTTTTTTTTTAATTTTTATTTATTTATGATAGTCACAGAGAGAGAGAGAGAGACAGAGACACAGGCAGAGGGAGACGCAGGCTCCAGGCACCGGGAGCCCAACATGGGATTCGATCCCGGGTCTCCAGGATCGCGCCCTGGGCCAAAGGCAGGCGCCAAACCGCTGCGCCACCCAGGGATCCCCCTTGTGTGCTTTTAAACCACATTTGACTTAGGGTTTAGTTTTATGCCAAAGAAGAATTCTGTTTCCTTCTGTATTTTGTGGGTAGTGATCCAAACACCTGTAAGTACAAATCTAAAAGTACATATTTGAATTCAACTTTCTTTACCTTGATTTACCTATTCAGGAAGATGATTACAACGGATTTCTAGTGAAGGAGAAGTAGATCCTGATCTCTCTAGTGAATTAAAAACTGTCTCTTAAGGGTGCCTGGGTGGCTCAGCCATTGAGCATCTGCCTCTGGCTCAGGGCCTGATCCCAGTTAGGGGATCGAGTCCCACATCGGGCTCCCTGCAGGGAGCCTGCTTCTCCCTCTGCCTGTGTTTCTGCCTCTTTCTGTGTGTCTTGAATGAATGAATGAATGAATGATCTTTAAAAAAAAACTGTCTCCTAAAAAATGTGAATACTTTTTTGTAGAGTGTGCCTTCTCGTGCAAGATGCCTATGGAATGTTCAGTGAAGTCTACTCTGAGGGCTCCATCTTAAAGGACCAACAGTTGGAAGGGAAGTCCTGCAGCCTGATGGGAATGAAGGTTCTACAGAAGGCCACCAGAGGAAGGTAAGGACACTTTGTAATAGCATCTAGTTGGCTGCAGTGGCTGGTTCTTTTATTCCTGTTTTATGTCTTTTTTTTTTTAAGATGTATTTATTTATTTGAGAGAGAGGAGAGCACGCAAGTGGGGAGAGGGCAGAGAGAGAGAGAGAGAGAGAGAGAGAGAATCTCCAACAGACTCCACACTGAGCTCAGAGCCTGTGGTGGGGCTCAGTTTCATGAACCTGAGATCATGACCTGAGCTGAAATTAAGAGTCAGATGCTTAACCAGCTGAGCCACTCAGATGCCATTTGTCTCTTATTTATAAAGACAATAAACTAAGATCCTAGATTTTGCCTGTAAAAGTAGGCCAGAGCTGAGTCAAGCCCAGAAAGTACTTCTAGGGGAAAAAACTGTAATTGGCAACAAAAATAATTATGCAGATTTGTTAATCCTAATTTTATTAAAAATTAAGAAGGTAAAAACTGTTATGTATGTGTGTTTTAATTCTAAAGGTTTGGGACGCCTGGGTGGCTCAGCGGTTGAGCATCTGCCTTGGGCTCGGGGTGTGGTCCTGGAGTCCCGGGATTGAGTCCCTCATCAAGCTCCCTGCATGGAGCCTGCTTCTCCCTCTGCCTCTCTATTCTCTGTGTCTCTCATGAATAAATAAATAAAATCTTTAAAAATAATAATGATAATTCTAAAGGTTTTTTTCTGTATGTTTTCCTAGTTAAAAAACAAGATAGCGGGATCCCTGGGTGGCGCAGCAGTTTGGCGCCTGCCTTTGGCCCAGGGCACGATCCTGGAGACCCGGGATCGAATCCCACATCGGGCTCCCGGTGCATGGAGCCTGCTTCTCCCTCTGCCTATGTCTCTGCCTCTCTCTCTCTCTCTGTGACTATCATAAATAAATAAATAAATAAATAAATAAATAAATAAATAAATAAATAAATAAATAAATAAATAAAACAAGATAGCTTTGCATGAATCAGTTTATGTAAATAAAAATATAACTTAGTGTAAAGGCATTTTATAAGCTTTAAACAAAACTCTTAAGTTGTCACATCTTTTTGCTTTCCATTGTAAGAAAGTTCCGTTCTCTGTCAAGGTTCATGGTACCACACCATAAATGTGGCTTTGGATAGGCAAAGTAGAATGGTACATAAATCTGGTCCAAACTATGGCTATTATGTCTCCAGTAATCATCTTAAATCTATAAATTAGGGAAAAGAAGAAACATTTTTAATGGAACTATCCAGTCACATAGAGAATTAGTGTAAACAGTGAATTTGGGATTTTCTCTCTTATGGTTAATCTCTCCTTCTTTGAATAGTGTGTTATTTTAACTCTTTTGCTGTTAATTTTTAATTTAATTATAGTAACATCTGATCTTATACCAGTATCCGAGAAATGGGGAAAAAAAAAAAAACATTGTGAGTATATGATGTTCTGATTCTGAAGCAGTTATTGATAGCATCCTCCAGTGATTTGCATAATGACCATTGTGGCCATGGTCATTCTAACTTGTGGACATTTATTGACTCTTCTCCTGACTGACCTTTGTAGGCAGTCAGTGTCCCCAGAGGCCACAAGTCTATGTCTCATCTGCCTTTCGTATGGTACTGTGCGAGTGATGGCTCTGCCCAAGGGCTTGTTCTCCTGAGAGACATAGAAGGATCCCCTATAAGCCCTGGGTAGAGAGATATGAGAACATTTTAATTGATCATGCAGATTTGTTGTATGAAAAATGCTTCCTTTTGCTTATAAAAGAGTGACTGTGTTATAATGTAATTGCCTTATGTGTTGGAGGTGGGGAGAGGTTTGTCCTGATATTTAGAAAGCGTATCTACTATGTGAAAAGCTTAATTGGATCACATGAAACTTATCTGTATTTAAGGCTGAACCTCATTTAATCCTAAGTTTTAGAATCACAAGCATCTGAAAAGACTGTATAGTTGCAGTACGTGGTGTCGCAGCCCTGACGTACTGACCTAACAGGGTGAATTCTCTCGGCCTTGTGGGAGGCAATCTTCCTGGGCGGGAACTCTACGCATAAGCCTCCCACCTGAGCACACCAGGATGCACATGGGCTCCCATCATGGGAGATCCTCCATGTGGAGCAGCAGAGTTGCTCCGGCTGCCAGCTGCCCTGATGGGCTGGAGGCCAGACAGAGGCTGCTCTGGGAGGCTTACTTCTTGCTGCAACCTATAGCATGTAACTTCCTGTGGCAGTTGTACTGGTAAATGACAGAGCCACTGTGGTCCTGGCCTCTTTGGCTCTGTAAAGTCCATGTTCTGTTACCATTATGCTTTATAGTCAATATGTGTTCTTAATATTTAATCTGCCTTTTTGTTGGTTACAAGGGGAGCCCTACTACTGTCTGCAACATTCCCATAGGAAATTTTTTCCCCACAGGAAATGCACCGAGTATTGCAAATAATTCATTTATAAACAAACTTTTGGAACCCATACCATTTTTAAGTTTGTGACTAAATATTTGATTTTTAATTTCTTCACGTATATAATTAATTTTATTTTGGCACACAGCTATCCAAGTAAATGTTTAGATTGTCTTTTTGTTCTTTTGGAAGCTATATTTCTTCAAAACAAATTATTAAATCGTTTAGGAATGCTGGATGTTATAATTGCCTTTTAGTGATATCATCCATTGTCAGTCATCCATCCATGGCCCAGTAAACACAAATTGTCTCTTTTACTTTTTCCCAAATTATTGTGTTTCATGGCAACTCCTGTAAACTCTAACAAAATATACTTCTCATAAACCATTAACAAAATATATTTACTTCCCAAAATTCAAGCTAAAATGATTAATTATAATTATATAATTCCAATATCTAATACAGAAAATAACTTTTTTGCCAATTGGAAAATAGTTGTGTGTTTGGGCTAAGTCATGAAGTCTCTTAGATTTTGGCTACCAGACTTCATCTGATCCTCTCTTCTAGTGATGGAAAATCACTCCTCTCTACAAAGGCTAGGAGGTGGACCAATGACCTCAGAGCTGTCCAATCAGACAAATGTGCTGTTGGACCAGTGTGCAAGGAATGCTGCTCTGTCCCCCTGCCTCATTTGGGAAGGCTTGCAGAAAAACAACAATCATATCTTTTGTATTTCTCTGACATATTTATGGAGTTGTATGTCCAAACTGACTGCTTAGAGTGAAAAGAGTCAGAAAAATAGTCTGGATTTGAAGGGGAAAAAAACTACCATTTTCAAAAAACACTGTTGAGGCCTGTTCACTAAGCAGAATGTGGAGCTCGGCCTGAGCTTTCCTCCTCTTGAGAGCAGTCCTTGCTATTTGTCTAGCGCCTCTGTCCTCCCAGGGCACCTCCCCTGACCTTTGTCTTCCCATGTGGCCTATACCAGCAGTTCAGTGGTCAAATGAGCAGAAAAGTCACATGACTTTGAGGTCATAATTCTATATGAACTTTATCTTTTTATTGTTGATTATTATATGTTTTTATTTTTATATGATACGCCCATACTGAGGCGGAAAAGAATTTGTAAAAAAAAAAATGTGTTAACCCCATAGGTATGGAAAATATAGCTAGCCAATACTTTGTAGGGGAGGAGAAATTCTTTCAGTTCAGAATACCTACTGGGTATTCATGTCCCAACTTGTTAAAACCCACTAAGCTCTGTGTCTAAAATGACTAATTTACAGGTTCTACTTGATTGAGATCTGTTGACTGGCCCTTTAAGAGAAGACTTTATTAAAGAGTAGTCAGTGCTCACTATATACAGAAGGCGCTACCTGAATACCCAGAAGGGCAAGGAAGCAGTTGACATGATCCTTGACCTTGAGTTGCATCCCTTTGAACAGAAAATTAGACAGGCACAAGTATTGGAGCAGCTAATGTTTTAAGTGACTAGATCCTAACTGGCTGATCTCAGATTTCATAAAAGAAGTTAGTGAGCACACATGCTTTAAACATCCTGGCCTGGCAGAAAGAAAAGTTCTCTTCAAATTGGTAAGATGTTATGTGTGAAGACATACATGTCGGATCAGGAGAGATGTATGCAAAAGGGGAAATGAAAAGGTGTTTTGAAAAGATAATTCAGTCATTTATTCTATAACCATTTAGTGCCTCTTTGTGCTGTGCCCCTGGCTAGTGGCTGTGACACTGAGCTCTGAGCTAGATTTTTGGGATTTATCCTAAACCAGAATATACTGAGGTATAAAATCAACTTAGATAAAGCTGTAGGTCCTATTTTTTAGGGATCTTCATCAATCCAAGAGAAAATTGGGCCCCCTGTGAGATTTTGAGAGAAGAAAAGTAGAGGTAATAAAAATGAAAATGGAGTTAAGGTTATCCTGCTATTGTACCTATAATGGATTTAAGATAGAGGGAGAGATTGGGGGCGGGCTGCAGATTCTGAAACTTCTGTAGGAATTAAGGGAAGAAGAACAAAAAAACAGTTAGGAACTAATCTTAATTTCTGATACCTATAGGCAGCTCCACCAGGAGTGTAAAAATAGACCATTCCCTCTAAGAGCTCACCGGCCAGCAGGAGAGCCGGGGTGACCTAGGCAGACACTGACTGGCAAGTGCCTAATACAAAGAGCTGTGGGCCGATATGATAGCAGCCACCTTTGAGGGAGGCTCAGAAGGCAGGTCAAGATTTAGGAACCCTGAAGAGAACAGGAAAGGCCTGGGGCTAAGGACTAGAATGAGGAGGGGAGGGAGGACTGTCTCCGTTATCTCCTTTGGGAGCCAGACTGAAGATAAGGAGAACTGCTGTCTGGTCAGCTTTCATGATAGAGTGAGGGGTGGGCACTTTGTGTGTGGGGTGGTGCATTTCAGATCAATAATTATTGTTTTAAGTATCAATTTTTGTTTTCAAGGTAACATATTAAGTACGGATAAATTTTATATCAAAGCCAAGTTTAGTTAATATACTTAAATACCAACCCCATAGTCAAGATCCAAAAGTCCTTTACAAGGCCGCATGCCAGTCTCCGGCTAGCTGTACTTGTGGCCGGTCGTCCCACCGCTCAGGCTC